AGGAAGCAACTTACCCTCCCTCTTCTCCTGCCTCCTCCTGGCTGAATGAGGGCTGGAAGCGGTGCGGCCGGAAGCAAGGGGCGGGGCTTCGTCATGTGCCCCCCCGTACCTCACCCGGGGGGACTGCGATCCCCCGCGATCCCCCCCGAAATGACCTCTGGTTGTGTGACAGGGACATAACAGCAAATCAACATGTAACATGATGACTCATGTATTTCAAAAGAGGGAGAAAAAGTTCTCTCTGTGCATTCACTGCTTATGAGTTTCCCAGAGGCACCTGGATGGCGACAACTGGAAAAGAGAAAGCTGGAGTAAACAGAATCTCGGTCTGATCACAGCCTCTGCAGATGTTGGGGACGGCTAAACCAAAGACTGATTTGCAAAGTCAGATTTTAATCAAGAGCTGTGACACTGATTCGTGTTAATGCAAATTGGCAACATTCGTCTCAGGGTGCTTCAAAAAAATTTTTTTTAAGATATTTTATTTCCAGATGGGAAGGGCCATCCAGAAGAAAATTAATTCTAGTACTTTTCCCCCCAGATGCATTCTTCTCTTCCCACACCCCCCGCAGCTCCGCACAGATCCTCCACATCTATCTCCAGCTGCCACGTACACAACTTCCCTCAGCAGTGCCGCTTTCCACAGGGAGGAAGCATAAAATGCAGAGACCTGCTGGGGGGGGGGGGAGCCAGAACGACAAGGGTTAGATCTTGCAGGGAAGATTTCCTCGGGGGGGGGGGAGCCTTCCCCTGATCTGCATTGAAGGAAGGCTCCTTCCACCTGAGGAAAGAAGAAGAAGAAATTGGATTTCTACCCCGCCCTTCACTACCCAAACGTGTCTCAGAGCGGCTTACAAACTCCTTTCCCTTCCCCTCCCCACAACAGACACCCGGTGAGGTAGGTGGGGCTGAGAGAGCTCTTGACAGAAACTGCTCTTTTTTCAAGGACAGCTCTAACCAGAACTATGGCTTGCCCAAGGTCATCCAGCAGGTGCAAGTGGAGGAGTGGGGAATCAAACCCGGTTCTCCCAGATTAGAGTCCGCGCACTTAACCACTACACCAAACCACCTCCGGTAGCGGAATGGATCAGCAGGATCCAACCACGGCAGCAGTCTCTTGCTAACCATTCCCCCAGTTCCATTCGAGAAAAGAGAAACGGCACCTTTACACAGAATAATCTTATGTGGAATTTTACCAGGGCAGAACGCGATATCTTGCTATCTAATAACAACACCTACAGTTTGCATTAATAGCTTGCTTTCTAAGTGTTCAAAAGTGCTTTGTGTACAACTGAAGAACATCCAGTAACTTCGGCTGGTATAAAATGTGGCAAGTGTTCCAACTGGGACCCGCCGAAAATACATCGCTAGGACTCCACTGATTTTGGAGGCGTCCCATTTGTTTCCAGGCCCAAGCTGAAGTGCTGCTGTTGAGTCCAGCGTTCCCTCTAAGCTGAGTTAGTGTGAGTCAGCTCACAGTTTTTTAGCCTCCATCTTACACATTTTTGTCTTAGCTTAGGAAGGATGGCTCCACAGTAAATTAATTTATGCAGCAGCCAAAACACTCGTAAAGCCCTGAGTTGCCTGGGCCTGTAGCCACTCAAGGAAGGCCCGCCTCACCCCCCCTGGAGGCCAACAGTGCTCTGCGCCATTGAGCCCACCACATTTAAACTGAGGCTGGTAGGTGCTCAGCTGCTGCCCCCAAATCAGGGCACACACTACCTGTCAGGGGTTGCTTGGTTTCCCTTCTCCCAGGTGTCTGGCACAATTTGAACCCTGCCTGTTCCAGAAAACCTTTGGCAGAGGGAGAGGAACTGAGTGAGCGCCGTTCATACCGATTTGGACTGCAGTTCTTACTTTTTTGTGATATGACAGTTGGTGCTAATCCGAAGTTGGTTTTATTGCTTCACTGTGATTTTCACTGCTTTGATCAAGTTTTTATGATCGCCGCCTGCTGTTTATCTTGGGAATAATTAGATTGCTTTGATGCTACTACTTCACTTCGTTGGATTTTGTTCCAGATTTGTAAACTGCCTTAGCTCTGTTCAGATGTTATGATCACACATACTGGCAGCCTACCAACTATGTACATCAGGAGTGCACAATAGTCATGATTCTCGCTATAGATAAGGTCATCATGCTGTGTGAACAGGGGCAGAATGCATATACACACGGCTCAGTAGACATACATGCAAACCCTGGCAGAAACAGTAGTCGGTTTGCATGTACCCATGTTGCATGTGCATGGTAAGTACATGCTCATACAACATGGTTACTGCACATATTGAGAGGATCTACCTGTGGTCAGCAGTCTCCTGGCACATAAGACTGTGAAGTCCCCAATGTCCCCAAAGGGCTTTTGGTTTGTCCTGAACCAGACAGGCCAGGTTGAAACTACCAAGATAAAACAAATCATCTTGCCTTAAAATTTACAATGACCCTGGCCTGACCTATCCAGCCCAGGCAAGCCCGATCTCGTCAGATCTCGGAAGTTAAGCAGGGCCGACCCTGGAAAGTATGAAGATGGGAGACCTCCAAGGAATATCAGGGCTGGGAGGCAGAGGCAGGTTATCAAGCCACTTCTCTGAATGTCCTCCATGCCCCAGTAGGAGTCGCCAGAAGTCGCTATGACTTCCAGGTATGGGCACACGCACGCGTGCACACACACTCGCTTAATAAGCCTTCCTCCCCCCCCCCCCTCTTATGCAGGGGGCAGAAGGGGAAACTGCAAGAGCACCCAGAAGAGCCCACCTGCTGTCCGCCACTGCTGCAAAACATCACTCCCCAATGTCCTGTCCCTCTTGGCTCTTTGCAGGCAGCGACTAGGCCAGGACGGGCTCCCCTCACAGTGCAAAGCCAACCATCTGCTAAGCCCACGTCACGACCGACAGCTGCTCCTACCAGAGTCCATCCGGCGAAGTTGCCAACACTCTGGTTCCAGCCTGCCTTCTGCACTGTTGCCAGCTGTCTGACAGCTAGTTGATCAGTGCAGTTGTTCCTCTCCTGGGCATGGAAGGAGAGGGACAGCCCAGCCTGTGATTTTGTGTTGTCCGACTCAGACTCTGCAGACCGAACTCATTATGTCTAGTTTCAGCCTGACCGTACAGGATCACCGAACCCAGATCCAAATTGCATTCCCCGCAGTGCCCCCACGGTGCAGTTTCAGCTTGGGAAAACAGAGCAATGGGGAGGCAAGAGGCCTTCCTCCCTATGCCGCAGTACCGAGCTGAACAGGGCCCCAGCAGCTCTTTCAAAGGCAGTTCCTGTGTGACTGCAGGGAATGTGAGTTTGAGTTCCACGGACCCCACTCTTTAATAGCTGTAACATCGATGCAGCTTTTAATATCACCGGAGTCCTCCTAGACTATGAAAGCCGGCAACCCCACCCATTTGACTTGCTTTAAGAACTCCATTCCCGGTGCTGTTCAATGCATGCTTGGATTGTTTCACAGCTGAGTCTCGCCTGCAGTGGGCTCTGCTAGACAGGGATCAATTCCCACCCCCCACTGTCAATGACTAAACTCAGTTATCTTTAGCAGGAGACTTGCACTGCAGGGGGCAGAGAGGGCGGCCCACTTTCTGCAGTTGTGCTCCAGCAAGAGGGAGCCGAAGGCTCCTTCAAGTTCACACAACACATCATTTCCGGTGTGCCATAAACAATGCAGCCTACGCAAGGGGGAGGGGGTGGAGGCCAGAAGTTGCTGGGATGAATAGCACCAGCCAGCAGTGGTGAATCTCCCGGATGCAGCTGAGGGGCGGCTACATGGGAAGATGCTAAGCAGAATGATTAGAGCCTGGGGCAACCAAGGAGCATGAAGAGCTCATCCACAGTGATTGGGTCTGATGGAACAGCTAAGGTAGCCGGGACTCCTTCCAGGCCCGTTCTGTAATTAGCCCCATGCAGGGACCTCATACGTCTTCCTTGGCTCTTCTCTGCCGTCTTTCCTGCCCTAGCGTATATGGCTGGGATCAACACTTGGGGCCACTGGAGGATTTCAAATGCCCCGACTTGCATCTTTTGTCTTTGTGCCAATTTAGGCATGCAGCCGGAAGAATGCTGGAGAACGTGTGAGGTGTTTCCCACATGAGCACCTTCCCCTGGGGGATTTACTGGGGAGAGGACGGGAATGCCTTCTGTGGATGTGCAGTCATGTGTTCCTCTCCTAGTGTCTGTGGTCCTCTTGCCTGGAGAAAAGCGGCTGCTTGGAACAGGTTCCCCCTGTGGGCCCCATCCTTGATGCGGCCCTGATCTTTCTCTAGGGGCTCTCTCTCCAAAAGGTGGTGTCTTCATAACATGGGTGGAGTGACCATTCTTCCTTCTCTGCGTAGTCAGCCTGTGACTGAAAGGGGGGGGGGGGAGGATTCGAACTCCTATCTGCAGGACTCCCAGAATCATGGTAGTTATAGTTAGTCCTGCTGGGTGTGTTACATCCCTCCTAACAGCTGATGGCACTACATCCAGTTTGGTGTAGTGGTTGAGTGCGCGGACTCTAATCTGGGAGAACCGGGTTTGATTCCCCACTCCTCCACTTGCACCTGGCTGGATGACCTTGGGCAAGCCGTAGTTCTGATAAGAGCTGTTCTTGAAAAAGAGCAGTTTCTGTCAGAGCTCTCTCAGCCCCACCCAGCTCACAGGGTGTCTGTGGTGGGGAGGGGAAGGGAAAGGAGTTTGTAAGCCTCTCTGAGACACCTTTGGGTAGTGAAGGGCGGGGTATAAATCCAATCTCTTCTTCTTCTTCAGAGTGGTCTAGTGTCAGACTAGAATCTGGGAGAGCCAAATTGAAACATTCTAGGAGATCCGTATTCAAATCCCTGCTTTGTCACAGAATCTCACTGGGTAACCTCAAGCCAAACCTACCTGACAGGATTGTTACTGAGAGGACAAAATGAAGGAGAGGAGAACAGTGTTGGAAGCTGCTTTGGGTCCTCTGAGGAGAAAAGCCGAGTATAAATAAAAAAATTAAAAATTAAATCATAACATGATTCAGATAAGGGTCCAACCTTGAAATCCTTGCTGTCTGCTTCTCTCAGCTTTTTCAGCCGGAAGTCTCCCTCACAAGGGTTCAGAGCGGACGGGGGAGCCACACAGGAGCATCTGCATTCCGGTCCGGAAGTAATGGTTTCCACCACGTAAAAATCCTCCGGTTTGGAAGCTCCGTCGTTAATCCTCTGGCAGGCGCTTCGGCCCAGGGGCCTCACCACACACTTGCACTGACAGTCACCACCTTCTGATATAGCCTTCACCTTGTCATAGTCACCTAGCAACTGGGGGGGGGGGGAGAGAAGAAATACAAACAGATCAGTTGGGTCTGAAGGAAAGATTCCCCCCACCACCACCTACACATTTCTGTTTGCTTTGCAGTGTGTTTGGCAAAGCCAGAAACACTCCTGAAACCCTGAAGAAATACATCACTCAAAACTGCTGACTCTGATGTTTCCCATGCCTTGGTAATTTGGGAAAGTAATTTTCTTCAGCCACCAAAATGGAAAAAAAAAGCTGGCCAACTTCCCTTCCTCTAAAAAAAGCCCACTTTGGTATTTTTCTGAAGATTGGGGGGAAATTAAAAGCTTGCCACTCCCAAGCCATTCCCTCCAGAATGATCTCACAATGGGTACAATCTCTCAGTATAAGTGTTGAAGAGAAGAGGAAGAGAAGAGATTGGATTTATACCCCGCCCTTCACTCGGAGTCTCAGCGTGGCTTATAAACTCCTTTCCCTTCCCCTCCCCACAACAGACACCCTGTGAGGTAGGTGGGACTGAGAGAGCTCTGACAGAAACTGCTCTTGAGAGAATAGCTCTGACAGAACTACGGCTTGCCCAAGGTCATCCAGCAGCTGCAAGTGGAGGAGTGGGGAATCAAACCCAGTTCTCCCAGATTAGAGTCTGCGCACTTAACCACTACACCAAACTTGCACAGTACCCAACTTGAAATGCTCCTTCTTGCACACCACCTTTTGTTTCAGCAGGACACGGGCAGCAGAATTTCCCAACTGATTGTGCCCCGTGGGAACCCTCCAGATTACACATTTGTTTTGTAATGCACAAAATGGACACATTCACGCTGTATTTGAAATGAAGTTGGTTTCTCAGATGTGTGGAGGGGCAAAATGAGTCTTCTCTGCCAGGACGCATGGCACCGGGGGGGGGGGGGGGGGGGGAGGCTGAAGCAGAAAAGCACATCCTACTTGGCCGAAGCCAAATTGTAACAACTGTAAATGCAATCCAAGGAACTTCCTTTAGGGTGTGTGCAGGGATCAAACACAAAAGTGAAAAATAAAAATAATCACAGAGCATATTGTGCAGCATGCGCAGAGCTTTCCAGAGTTACAGAACCTCATTCAGACAACCTTTGTAAGGACAGTTCACAAATTACAAACCTGGGTTTGTCATTGGAGCATACACCAGTCAATCCTGGTTCCCTGGTAAGTGTACAAGGCAATGTTTGTGACATATTCAAGCTTGGTATTTCAGGTGTACCCTGAATCATGGGTTGTTAAGGAGGCTAACTGTGCCCCTGGTGTTCTAGATTCAGCTATCAGTCAAACCAGTTTGTGATAACTGTCACTTAGAACCCCAAACCATGGTTGGGATTCCAAATGTGGTTTAGTTTCTTGCTTACATTTTCCCTCTTCTCTAGGTGGATTTTGATGGAGCAATGGCCAGAATTTAGAATTATTATTTCTCTATATTATTTATTTAAATATTTATAAGTCCTCCTTTCTATAGCAAACTACAGTGAAGTTTCCTTAACCACGGTTAGGCACAATATCTAAATCCAACCAGCAGGTAGATGGCTAGATCATGTCCCTCACACGAAAAGATGTTGCCATTCCACGGCGAATGGAATAAAGCTCTCTTCCCACAAAGCAAAGCTCTGGAGGAGTTTGTCCGGAAGACATGTCTGTAACAGCCTATCACATGCTGAGTTCAACAGCTCTGACCAGTGCACCTTCAAGAGACTCTGTTTCCTTGTTTGTTTTCATTTCTTTGGCCAGCAGGCAGATCTCTGGGGCACACCAGCTTGTGCACATTTGGATCCTGGACTGTTACTGTCTGAAGCCAATGCAGAGTTTGTCTAACTGAAGCCAACTGATTTCATTGGTCTTAGAATCATAGAGTTGGAAGGGATCTCCAGGGTCATCTAGTCCATCCTACTGCACAATGCAGGAAATTCACAAATACCTCCCCCCTCCACACCCCCAGTGCTCCCTGTTCCATGCCCACAAGAACAAAGCCCTGAGGCAACCCTTCCTGCCCTCCCTCTCGTGATCTGCCTAAATTCACAGAATAAGTGTTGCTGTCAGATGGCCCTTCTGTTTGAAAACCTCCAAAGAAGGAGAGCCCACCACCTCCCGAGGAAGACTGGAGGGATTCTGCATAGGATCCCACAACAAATCTCCCCAGCAGTATCAGCAAGACGTCTGCATTTCAAGGTCTGCAATTAAACTGCCTTCATGATGTACTGATGTTCATAATTTTGGAAACCGCCTCAGCCAATGATGGGCAAGGTGGTACAGAAATATTTTAAACAAATCAGTAAAATGATGTCCAAAAATGAATCCAAATAGCTTTCTGAAAACCAAATTGGCCCTCTTTCCAGCAGGCAATTGCTACCTTTTCCCTGTGGCTTGGCAAAGACTATACTTTGAAGAGAGGGCTCGCTCCCCTAGCAACGGGCGCTGATCCAGTCTGAGATAGCAATTTGTTGGCCTCTGTTATCTCTGCACACACTTCTAAGCAGTGGCTTAGCACAGTGTTCAATTTAGGGTCAGGTCTGCATCTAAAATATATCTAAAGCCCGTGAAGCTTTGCTTTTCTTTCTCGTGGAACAGGAAACTCAAGCTAACAGCCAGAATTTATTCAACAACAGGGTAGTCTAAAATGTACTCGTATATCTAAGAAACGATTGTTGGTAACGTTAATGATAAAGAGGGAAAGGGTCCATCAACCGAACAAAAAGCCCACTGGGGGGAAAAATGAATTCTGACTGTGACCAATTTATGGGTCGTTCCAGCAACTGCTGGAGCCTGCAGCAGTTGCAGCTTGGAGCTGACTTGAACCACAGGTGAAAGCCAACACAAGCAGATGGAAAACTGCCACCATCACATGAATGCACCCCCTCCCAAGAGATCAGACCAGTTGAAGTCACAGCGATTGGGTTTAAAGGGGCAGCAGCTGGGATGCCGGCAAGCCACAGAAATCCAACACTTCACAGGATTATCGACTCCCGGCCAAGCGTTTCAGCTTTTGGGGGCTCAGGTTCTAAGCACGGTTTATTCAGTAGCAAAAGTGTGCAAGGTGACAGAGTGCAGATGTGATATGATCCCACCATGTGGAGGGCTTCCAGTGTTTAAAGCAACAATCCAAAAGTTCCCTATACTAGAAAGCCACTAAGCAGAAGCACCTGGATCTAACTTAAAAAAGAGCAAAGAAGGCACTTCTGACCAAGATGGTATTTAGAATGCATCATGGCCGGGCTGGCTGTAGCGCTGAAATGCTGAACGCGCAGACTTGCTGCATGCATCTGGGCAAAGGGGCTCCACTCCCCGAAAACTTAAACCGGAATCAGATGTGGTTAGCAGGAGTCACAAGACTCCTCTTCATTCTTTTTCCTGCAGTGGACAAACACAGCTACCCTTTTGGAATTAGACCAGATCCGACTTAGCTGTGACGTAAGGCTGGCTCAGGACAATTTCTTGCCCCCCAACAAGGCACATCCCTTCTCTCCTGGGCCTGGGCCACTGCTGGCGGAGTCCCTGCCAAGTGTTGCAGGAGACTGGCCCGGACTCGGCCAGGGGTGGTGTGAGCCTGGGAGGGGATGCCAGTCTTCTCCTATGCCGCTGATGGCTCTGAGCCAGCCGATCCCCTGGGGTGCCTCCGCGGTCTTCTTGCTGTATGGCCCCCAGCAGTCACTTGGGTGGCCTGGCCACAGAACGGCCCCTGCTACGAAGGGTGAGGTTTAGCAATCACAAATGCCTTCTCCACAGAGAGACAAACTCTTGCAATACTCATTAGACAGAAATGTAACCAATGCCTCCAAGAGACTCACTCTCATCCGACACAGTGAGTGACAGGATGTGACTGAACACAAGGCTGGAATCCTATTTGCACAGCTATTAGACAGCAACCCTTGTTGGGCTTATTGAAACTTATTTCTGAGTAAACATGTACAAGTTCTGAGTCGTGCTTACAAGGACTTTGGTTTGGTGGGGGTGCAGATCCGCTACCGATGCCACGCCACCTCTCCTGAAACAACAGGCACCTACATGATAAATCCCCATTCCCAAAGACGTCTGGGGAAATCATTCATTCTGGTTTTCCAAATAACAGATGCTCATCAACCAAGAGCCAGTTTGGTGTAGTGGTTAAGTGCGCGGACTCTAATCTGGGAGAACCGGGTTTGATTCCCCACTCCTCCACTTGCACCTGCTGATGTGACCTTGGGTCAGTCACAAGCTCTGGCACAGCTGTCCTTGAAAAAGAGCAGTTTCTGTCAGAGTTCTCTCAGCCCCACCCACCTCACAGGGTGTCTGTTGTGGGGAGGGGAAGGGAAAGGCGTTTGTAAGCCGCTCTGAGACTCCAAGTGAAGGGCGGGGTATAAATCCAATCTCTTCTTCTTCTTCTTCAAAACCTCAAATGCTCTGCCTTAACTCAGGTTGTAGACAAAGCTACGCAAATGTTAGCCTTGGGACTGGCACCGAAAGCCTATTCCCTTGAAGGGAGAGCCCCTGAGCATCTGCAGAATTTGCCCCAAAGCATAGCTGTTTTTAAGCTCATCACAGGGGAAATAAGAGTCTGGGGGAGTTTTAAGCACGTCAACCCTTTAAACCTAGGAAGCCCCCGACACAGTGGATTGGTGGAGGGGATCAACCACTACACACACCCCCAGCTGATGAAGCCGCACGTCTAGCCTTCATCTGCAAGCTGCCCCCTAACTGGCTCCGAGCCAAGAGGAAAGGCAAAGTATACATATTTTAATTTTTTAAGAATTAGTACATTTGTGCAAGACCTCTGGAAGTCTAGTCCCTGCCCGGGGAGTTAACTCCCCGCAGTCCAACCCTAGACATGCTAGCTCATAACTAAATCCAACTGAGGTCACACATGTTTAGGACCACAGCCTGAAAGCTCAGTGCAAGGAAAGGGGGGACCCCCCCTCCTCTCCAGAGGCTGCCTAGACAGGTCTGTCAAGGTCAGAAGAGACTGGAAGTTGCTCTCCCCAGCAGGTCTTTCATATCACTTGATGCTTTTTTAAAAACTGGAGGCACTGGGAATGGAACCTGGGGATGTCTGCATGTAAAGCAAAGATT